CCCCCCCCCCCCCCCCCCCCCCCCCCCCCCCCCCCCCCCCCGCAGCGAGGGTTTGCAGGGTGTGGCCAGCAGGCTGGCTTAGCCGCAGCAAGTGCACTCCGCGTGGAACCGTTTGTACCTTGACATGCTTCCCCTCCAGGTACATTGTCTATGATATTGCTCAGGTCAGTCTGAAGTATCTGCTGAAGCTGAAGTTCAACTTTAAGACCTCCCTGTGGTGAGCTGTGAGGCGTGGCAGCCCAGTGACTGCGGTGTGAATTCGCCCGCCTGACATGCTTTGTACCGACTGACCAGGCAGAAACTTCAGCTGAGTTGCCGAGGGATAGCACCTTCACTAAACCTCCTTAGAAGGGATTTTATATGAACACTAGGTCACATGTTAAATGATTCTCCCAACTTTTCAAATCCCTTGTTTGTGTTGCTGGGGCGGGGCGGGGGTGGGGCCGGGGGTTGCTTTGGGTTTTTCTCCTTCCAGCCATAACCCTGGTAGGTACACCTAACAATAGAGGAAAAGTTGGGGAGGGTTTTTCTGTGTGTCTAGACTAGTCCAATGAAAGAACCTTGCAAGCCACGTTAGAACGTCTGCCTCACTGGTTTCCCCAGGGAAGGAAAAAATAATCTTCCGCCCTTATTTCTAAGTGTTCATCTTTAGTTTTGGAAAAATGTTAAGCATTTATTTTGAGGTTAAAATAAAAACTAATTTCATACTATTTTAAATTTCCTTTTTTATTTTGCATTTGTTGTCATCCTTTTAGCTTTTTGTTGGTGGTGTTTGGTGAGGAGTGTGGGGAGACCAAAGGGAGGAACATGAACAATTTCTCATACTTAGAAACGAAAAGTGCTTTCCTTTTCTAGAGACACTGGAACGTGGCAGCTCGCAGAATATGTAGTGTAGTAATTTTAAGTTGCATTTGAAATTCTCAACTTTCCTCTCAACAATTTTGTCTTCTAACTTAGAACTATATCACCAGAATACCAAAGGGCTAATAGTGATTCTGAATTAAAATTGAAATGGCTTCTGTACTTGTGTGTTGTGTGTCTGGTCTCATTCTGAGTGCAGATCTTTTCATCTTCACAGTGCAAGGTCCACAAAGACTGTAGGGGGATTGTTTGTACCCGTATCTATGAAACCACAGAATGTGCCAGGCAACAAACGGCAGTGCCCAGTAGGAGTGCCGTGTCTGAGTGACAGAAAACCAAACACAGGAGGGCATTCTTCTTTTTCTTCAGTTTATCAGATACTTAGTGGTGGTAAGACACGTGTCAGCATGTCGTTCTAGTCTATGGAGTACCATTTTACATAAACTATATCGCCTCACACTACCACTGTATATTTGAGTGTGGTGCTTATCAAATATTTACATTTAAGTTCCCTGAGAGCCAGGATGATATCTGATGACACTTTTGACCTTTTACAGAGGAGAACAGGAAGTGTGGGCTAGAAGGTAGCGTCACAGGCGAGAGAAGGCAGCAGAGTGAGCTGTTGTCTCAAACCCAAAGTTGCACCGGAATCTTTGGTCAGAGAAACAAAGGACATCATTCCAGACAGAAAAGAAGAAAAACATTTTCTCTGAGCTGAGCTACTTTTTAGTGATTACAATGGTAGGTGCAGTTTATGGGCTGTGGCTGTGTCCCGTCATAGGCGTGTTCGTGACTTTCTGCAGTCAGCAAAGTTTGAGGGCCACACAAACCCAAGTTAGGGTGTCGGATTTCAGATACGGGCAAATCAACTTGATAACAGAGTCTTTGTGTTTTTTCAGTGTCCTTAAATTTTGATGAAAATCCTTAGCACCATTGACCTGAGGGCCCCTGATCAGCCAGCCATTCAGTAATTCTCTCAGGCGCCATAGATCCTGAATATTCTGTATTCTTTGCCTTTTTTATCAGCACAGAGAAAGGCAATCACCCCCACCTGATTAGACAGTATTTTTAGATTGGAGTGATTGCTTAATAGGTTCTCTGTAATCAAAACTGATCTCTTTCTTAAAGAGAGATTCACATCTCTGATTCCGCATTTTTCTTGTAAAAGAGGGAACCTGCCATATTAGGATTCAGTATTCATATTTTGGTTTTCTTTCTTCACTTTATAAAAATTCCGGGTAGCAGCGAAAATGTGCGCAGTTAGTTTAAAATTTAAATCCTACAGAAGCACAGGGTGCTTGGGGAGACGTGGTACTGCCCTCGGCCTCTCCTGGGAGCTGCCAGCCCTCCTGCCTTTGCCTGGAAATGCCCTTGCACGACAGCCGCGTCTGCCCGGGGCAGCACTTGGCTCACCTTTCAGTCCACACCGTTCCACGCAGTGTAGTCCACGCCCGAGGTTGAAACTTTCTGAGCAGAAGCACCCCCGCATTGATCTGACGTGTTAACCAATGGGTTTGGCGTTGGCTCTTCTCTTGCCGCTGTCTCTTGGAGGCTGAGAACAGCTCCTCCGACAGCCCAGAGGACTCCTGTGAAGCTGCTGTACTGACATGACTGGAACTTCGCGCTGGGGTGGACCCCGAAGCACTGTGCTTTTAGGGAGTCCCCTGAGTGAAGCCCGTGGCGTGTGCAGAGTGTGTGCTCCGTGTGTTTAGTGTTCACGCTGAAAGCTCTTCCACCTCGTGTAATTGCTGCAGACACCGTGTCTTCTCTCCACGGAGATCTGAATATCGGGAGCGGTTATCTCCAACCTGTGCGGCTCCTTGTCACCCGGCTACTTTAAGGAGTTCACATTTCCAAAGGGACCTCACTTCCTTCCCCTTCAATTCTGTGTTTCAACTCCCCAAAGATCGGGAGTTTTTTTGTTTTTTGTTTTTTGCGGTACGCGGGCCTGTCACTGTTGTGGCCTCTCCCGTTGCGGAGCACAGGCTCCGGACGCGCAGGCTCAGCGGCCATGGCTCACGGGCCCAGCTGCTCCGCGGCATGTGGGATCTTCCCGGACCGGGGCACGAACCTGCGTCCCCTGCATCGGCAGGCGGACTCTCAACCACTGCGCCACCAGGGGAGCCCGGGAGTTGTTTTTTTAAGGAATAGTGTTTCTACCACTTCAAACAAGGCCTTTTATATTGTGACTTACTGGGGGTTAATAGCCAGTTTTGAACCTCTGCCTGGAAGATGGGACAGCAGCCTCAGTTTGCCCATTTCTCTGGCTTAAGAGAGCAGAGCCAAGCCAGGATCTAGGTTATAAGCAGGTAGATTTGGGGAGACTTGTTTTGAAAAGTAAAAAGAAAATAGGGCCTGCAAACTTTTTCCTCAGGTAAGAGGTTGCCGACTGGTGGACGGTGCTGATGATGGGGACACCCGGACGTTAGCCCCGCTCCACCCCCGTGCTGTCTGCGCAGCCTTGCTTCTGGGCGAGGGGCTCATCTCAGCACAGGTGGCGTGTGCAGCGGTGGGCTCGTGCCCGTGAGTCCACGGGTTTTGCCACAGTCGCCATCCCTCGGAAGTGGCCTGACTGAAGGCGGAATGGCTTCTGACGGTTCAGCTGTGAGGCAGCACCCTGAGGGGATGGGGCTCGAGCTTCTAGGCCCCAGAATAGGCTTTTTTTCTTCTTTATAACTTTTATTGGGGTAGAGTTGATCTACAAAGCTCTATTAGTTTCACGTGTACAGCTCAGTGACTCTGTTATACATATATCCACTCTTTTTAGATTCTTTTCCCATATAGGCCATTACAGAATATTGAGTAGAGTTCCCTGCGCTATACAGTAGGTCCTTAGTTACCTATTTTCTATATAGTAGTGTGTATGTGTCAATCCCAATCCCAGTATATGCTTAAGATCAGAGACCAGTCTATGGTCTGGGAAGCAAGGGGTGGAGTGGGAGTAGCTCCTGGTTCTTGGCACATAAGACTTCCCCTGGAGCTCTGCTGGTTTGGAAGTCCAAGGTGCTGAGGGAGACATGCTTCCCTAGGGGCCACAACAGTGGTTCCAATGAATTGGAAGATAAGGCTGCTACCTGGCTGTTTGGGGCTCCTGAAAGGCCACCGTCCCCACAAGCAGAGAAAGGGGTTCCTCTACTGGCTGGAGTGACTGATTACCAAGTGGGAAATTGGGATGCTGGACCGCAGAGTCAGGAGGATGGTGTCTGCAGCCCAGTCGCTTCTCAGCATCACCGTGTCCACAGGGGGCGGTCAGTGGAAGTCAGCAGCTCATGACAGTGGCGGGACTTTTGAGGACTCAGACCCGCAGGAACGAAGGTTTGGGCACTTCACCAGGTCAAAAACTGATCAGCTACAGTTCTGGCTGAGGGCAGAAGAAATAGGCAATGGACAGTTGAAGAAGGAAGCTACAGGTAACAACTGTGGCTTTATGGCCAAGTATAGAAATGGTTGAAGCAACCAGATAGGGGGCTGGAGACAACTGGCCTAACTGACCTGAGTCTAGGATTTGAGATGTTGGGTTAGAATGGCTATAAATATAAAACTGAACTCTTGTTTATGAAGTAGCTATAAATGTCAGTATAGGTTACATTTGTACCCCCAAGCTCCCCACCCCGTACGTAGTTCAGTGGATCCTGAACTCTGAGGGTTACTGTTGCCCCCTCTAGAGAACCGATGATGGGCTCAGCTTGGGGGAAGAGCCCAAAGAAGAGAGCCCCTGTATTCCCAGGGTCTTCTCAGCCCTTTCAGCCAGGGCTCTTTCTCTTCACCGCAGAAAGATGAATCAAGCCATTCTGAATCCCTGAAATCTTTTGGTACCTACCTCTGAGTTGCTCTGAGAATGTGTGCTAATTCCTGTAAAGTACTTAGTGTGGTTCCTGCCCTTGATATGCCCTCAGTAAATCTTGGCCATTATTGCTGAAATTCTAGAGAATGTCGTTGCTGGGGTAGGAGTCAAAACAGGAAGCTCCCTGGTGGCGCAGTGGTTGAGAGTCCGCCTGCCGATGCAGGGGACGCGGGTTCGTGCCCCGGTCCGGGAAGATCCCACATGCCGCAGAGAGGCTGGGCCCGTGAGCCATGGCCGCTGAGCCTGCGTGTCCGGAGCCTGTGCTCCGCAACGGGAGAGGCCACAACAGTGAGAGGCCCGCGTACCGCAAAAAAAAAAAAAAAAAAAAAAAAAAAAACAGGAAGCTCCAGGTAAAAATGAGAAACTAGGGACTAAGACAAAGAAAACAAATCCTGTGCTCATTGGGAGCCGTTGGACAGTCAGGAGGAAGAGCCCAAGACTATAAATGTGACCTTATGCCCACATTTTCAATCTCCTGTGAAACCTCGCAGTGACACTGGCCTCCCCTCAGTGTGACTTCATCTTCCCGTCCCTCCCCGTCACCCACCTTAACTGTAAAGGGACAGACTCTCCAACAGTGTTCCCCCCAGGCCCAGCCCCACTTCCAGCCAGGCCTGCTGGGGCTCAGAATAGCCCAGCTGCTGTCTCAGCAGATGGCCAGGCTAATTTTAGGCATGTGGTGCTCACCCAGAGACCAGGCTAGGCTTTTTAGATTTGAATAAGCTAGTGTGCAACTCTGGTTTGGAGCCAATAACAGAGCTTTGAGTTGTTGTGATCTGTGTGTCTGCCTAGCGCTTTACAGGCATTCCAGAAATGTAATTTCTAAAGGATTTTGTTTCTCTGAACCCACAAGACCCCAAACTGTAGAGCCAGCAGGCAGTCAGGCCTGCGAGGTGCTGGGGACAAGCCAGGAGGACGGTGAGAAGCAGGTGATGACACCAGCTCCTGCCCTGGGCACACTTAACCCCTGGTTGCTCTCTTGGTCAAAATGAAAGGAGAAAGCCT